GTAGTACTAGTAGTAGTACTAGTAGTAGTAGTACTAGTAGTAGTACTAGTAGTAGTAGTAGTAGTCGTAGTCGTAGTCGCCGTCGTAGTAATAGTAGTAGTAGTAGTAGTAGTAGTAGTAGTACCAGTAGTAGCAGCAGCAGCAGTAGAAGTAGAAGTGGCAGTAGTAGCAGTCGCAGTTGGAAGAAAGATTGGTAGTGGCAGTAGTAACAGTAGTAGCAGAAACAGTAGCAGGAGGAGGAGGACTGAGTAGGAGTGAGAGGAGGGGTGGGGGCGGGAGTGGCAGTGGCAGCAGGAGTGGAAGTTGGAGTTGGAGTGGTACTGGTAGTACTGTAATAATACCATTAAGTAGCAGCACTGCTGCTTCCACTGCCTGCTGTCTCTTCGGGTTTTCATTAGGGTAGTCTCTCTCTCAGTGTTGATGTTAAAAATGCTTGATTGTTCCCTTACTGTAGCCGTCGTCGTCGTCGTCGTCGTCGTCGTCGTCGTTGTTGTTGTTGTTGAAGTCATGTGCAGTCTCCATTGTCCCAACAAATAGGACAGTGATGACGATGCCGACCGGGTTTAATGTCAGCCTCCCAGGTAGCAGCACCTCTACAAGCATTACGAGAACATCGAGTACCTCCCTCACTTCTTCTGCCACAACGTCCATATCGTCGACTTCCATTTCCTCGACAACATCTATCTCGTCATCGAGTGTCTCGTCCTCCACCACAGCGTCTTCTACCCTTTCTTCAACGCAAACTTCGTCCACGACAGAGTCGCAAACTATGACGGTTTCTTCGTCCTCGTCCTCATCGACGGTCTCAACCACGGAAACTGCTACTCAGACACAGACAACCATGTTTCAATCATCGACAACAACATCGAAGACATCTTCCGCTACAACGACGCAGACAACCACGTCCCAAACATCTACAACAACATCGCAGACATTGTCTTCTACAAAGACTCAGACAACGACCTCCGAAACATCTACATGGACGAGCTCCACATCCACGACTGCATCGGAGACATCTTCAACAGCCACGACAGAGACTACGACATCTGCAACCTCCACACGGACAAGTTCCACGTCGAGCACTGTGTCTCGAACATCTTCAACTGCTTCCTCACAGACCGTCACTACAGGAACATCCACGCAGACGGGATCCACAACAACATCCGTCACCATGTCATCGACAACTTCCACCACTTCGACGATGTCATCGACAACTTCCACCACTTCGACGACCACGTCTGCGACGTCGTCTTCAACATCGACAAGCACGCTAACGGCCACAACTTCTTCAGCCACACTCACGGACTCAACCACGTCAACAAGTAGTGCGACCGCTACAGGGACGGTTTCAAGCACCTCCTCGCGTTCCCGAACCGAGACAGTGACTGTTTCAGAAAGCCTGACATCCACGGCGTCTACGACCTCCACGGTTATGCGAATCGTCACCAGCACGACAACTGATGCCTCTGCAACTGTATCGTCATCGACTTCGAGCAGCACAGCGCCTTCGAGCACCACTACGGCCAACACGGGCACCACGACGAGCTCAAACAGCAGCTCTTCCAATCAATGGCAGCACTGGCATCAGGAACGCACAGGTAGCAAGAGCTCAACGCTAAGATTACACTGTCTAGCATCCGGTAGATCTCGATAGCTAGCACTGTGTGAAAACATGGGTTGTGGATGTTTGTGGCATGTCAGAAGATGTGTAAGCACGCAACTGCCAAGTGCCCGAGCTGCTCCGACGTGTACTCGGGCTAACGCCCGCCTACGTAGACACCACAGAAGCGCAAGCAGACCTGAGTAGAAAGATCCAGCGTGAAGCCTGGGAGTCATTCCGTGGTCGTTCACACCCTCAAAATAGCCTAAATCGTTGACGTTGCAAAGCCAAAGAGGATGAGCTCGAGTGCCCCCCCGTCTTCTTCAGAGCAGCCTGTATCAACAGAAGTGCCCAGACTCTCTGTCTCTCTCTGCAGGCTTAGGGCCGAAACCGGCCTGGCCCTGCGTCAGGTCCGTTGGGGGCGGAGATCCTACTTGGCGAACTGGAAACCGCGGAGAAGGGACTTGCCAGGCAGTCGAGGGCTGGGTGTTTGCAAGATTAAGCAAAAAAAAGCATTGGGTAAGTGTTATAGACGCAGGGATGAAGACTCAGGGATTCCAACGGTGAGATTGGGGCTGTTTGCGCGGACGCGGGCCCTGCAGAGCATCAGGTTCTCAGGATGTTTGGCTTTCGAAGAGCATTTCATGAATTCCAGGTCCCGACTTGATGAAGCCGTCCTGTTTGATTGTGTGACTCACCAAGTGGCGGATCGCTCTGCGAGGCAGCTGCTAGCGACGCTGGACCAAAACAGCACGAATGCCTCCGACGGCATCATCGCGGAAGCGGTTGCGCAGTCAGACCTTTGACAGCGCTTTTGGAGGAAGAGTTCAGGTTGTAGAGCTTTTTATGGACTTTAAAGCTCACGAGTAGCCCACGGGGCTTTTACAGTTTCGGATGAAGGGGTTCAGCGTCGGTGTGCTCTGCTACTATGGAGATGAGACCGGCAGACTGTTGGTTATCGTTGCGCATGCTTTCGGTTCTTGCTGTGGTGACGGGCGCGGCCTATGAAACCCATTGCTTTCAGGTGAATCTGCCTGTGCTGCACCCCGGAACCAGTTCTTTCGAAATTTCATCCCGTCTGCTCGTGGTGCACAGACCCCAAAGCTTGAAAGGCCTAGGTCCGAGGCCTCCGAAGCTGCTTTGGGAGCTCGGTGGTTCGACTGCAGGGATTTTGGGGCTTCCGTGGCTTGGGGCAGAGGGGTTTACCGGTCAGAGTTTCAGATTTTCGGAGAGCACCAGAAAGGAACTGGCCATCACGCGGACGCTGGCCTTGCACCTCGGCCGAGGTTCAGCCGGCGAGGCTCAGAAAACCCGACGGGATTCGATGCTAATTCTCTAGGTCCTTGGAGCTTGAAGGTGCCTTAAATGCACAGGCAAGCAGTGTATTTGTGGATGTGCCACGATGTGCATCTATGCAAGCGCAGACTTGTCTATTTGTCCATATATCTGAATGCATGTGTCCCGGTATGCTTGTCAGCTAGGTCGTAGTGCTAACGATTCCATTAGAGGATACTCGACGGTTGAAGTTGCCCAGTGAAGGTGGAGGTTTCAGCACACAGCACTTTAGTTGACTGGTCATGGATGTTTTGGGCTTGCAGATGTCGAGGGGTCATAGCTCGGAACCGGCCATGGTCAACAGCCCCAGAAAGCACGACGGAAAATAGCGGGCCATGTCACGCCCCTCACTACAAGCCCGGCAGACCCTCTTCCTAAATCGAAGCCTTCGAAGCCTCAACCCTTGAGCTCTAAGCCTCTAAGCTCCAAGCGCCAACTCTCAGCTTTTCGGCCCCGACGTGCACGTCCGTGCCGAGGGACAGCGACATCCTGCAGAGCCTCGGCCGTACCTTGCGGGTGCAAGGCCAAAACGCCAGCAGCTTGTCTTCATTTCGGATCAGCGAGCTGTTTTTTGGGGTCTTGTCTTGCCTTGGATCGGGGCTTGAGGCCCAGGGCTTGTCGTTTCGTGTCAAGCAAGGAATGGAATCATTAGGGCATCAGGGTTCCCGAAGGTGCTGCAAGACGAGAGAAGGCTGAGCAGCACAGTGCCAACGTAACTATGGCAAGTCGCGTTAGGACCGTTAGGGCGACAAGTCGTCGTCTCACACAGGCAACAGGCAGGCTAGCAGGCACCCCAGCTCGGTTCAGTGCGCGGTACTTAGGCACATCCCGGAAGACTGCGGTCTTCGCTTCACGCAAAGAGTCGTGTGAGACAAAGCCTGAGGAATCCCCTTCAACTCCTTCCCTCTCTCATGGTTCCCATAAAATTGAGAGACGAGGCTTGGAGATTCCACCCATCGTCGTCTCCCAGGTGCGGCGTCTCTGCATCCTGCGAAAGGTCTTTGCTTGCTTCGAAGCCGTGTGTTACCTCCAGAAACCCTGAAAGTGACACCCAGAAGCCGAAGCCCAAGTTTGCCGTGCAGGCGGCGGATGCCTCGGGCGTCCAGGCCTTCAGTATCCTTCAGTCACACAGACTTTGGGGCTGTCATCCGCATCCCTATCCCAATGCTTGTCGCCTTGTCGCTATCGCGATCTGGCGCTCTCGCTGTCGTTGGGCGATCGCTCCTCCATCGCTATCGCTATCACAAGTCTTCTCTATCTATCTCTCTCTGTCTCTCTGCGTCTGTCTTTATCAATGTCTCTGGCTCAATCTGTTTCTCTCCATCTTTTCTCTGTGCCGATCTATCTGTGTATCTCTCTCTCTCTCCCTGTCTGTCTTTCTGATTGTCTGTCTGTCTGTCTGTCTGTCTGCCTGCCTGCCTGGCTGGCTGGCTGGCTGGCTGGCTGGCTGGCTGGCTGGCTGTCTGTCTGTCTGTCTGTCTGTCTGTCTATTTGTCTATCGGTCTCTATCTGTCTATCTGTCTGGCTGTCTATCTATCTATCTGTCCATCTGCCTATCTGTCTATCTGTCTATTTGTCTATCTGTCTGTCTGCCCTTCTGCCTACCTGTACATGCATGTAGCTGGTTCCAGATGCTGATACGCATATCCATGACATGAATAAAGGCTCAAGAACAAGGCGAGGTGATGAAGTAGTGTGTGCATATGCCGACATATACGTGCATGGTTTTGAATATGACTATGACTATGAACATGAACCGGTTGTGTACGTATGTACGTATGTATGAATGTATGAATGTACGTATGTATGTATGTATGTACATGTGCATGTACATGTATAGGTCTACCTCCAGTATGAACATGACCAAATACGTGACCGTGGTGTTGAGGAGTTTTTTGGGGCAGTCAGGGGTTGAGGGTGTCTTGCGGCTTGAGTGGCATGCGTTTCTGGCCTGGCCATGGGAGTTCAGCGCCCTTAAGCTTTTACTTCCTTCAGTGAGCCCAGAAGTTGAGCTCAAAGCCCGAAGCCTTTTCGTAGCCCAAAGCCATGGAGAGCCCTCAGCCCGTTGCGTGCGCCCATTTAACTTCAAGCACTCGCATACTGATGGCCAGCAGGACGGCCTGGTCATTCTCAGCTTCTCCGTGGGCGACGCGGATTTCGCGGCAGAGCTCGCTGGCAATGCCGCGGCAGAGGAGAGGGGATCGTTGCAATGCACTATTGCGTCTGTTTGGCTCTGCTGCGAGACATGTGATGGAATTGGAAGATTTCCCTGACGTTGCACCTCTCAATCTGTGCGCAAGACACCTAGCGCTTCACCGAAGTGCTGAAGAAGCAATTCCCTTTCAAGAACACTCTCCGCAAGGCTCTTGACGGTTTGTTCGTGGAGCCCGAATTAGCAGAAAGATGTTGCCAGGCAGAGAGCTTGTCGGCCTTTGGTTAAAACCTGCGTTGGAACGCCCAAAATCTGGACTATGTTCTGTGAGGCCCGGGGATTCAGGATCATGGTGCCGTTGTGACCAAAATTCAACGAAACTGCGAAATTCAAGCTCTGCTTGCCTTCCTTGCACGAATTAAAAGTCCAAATTCTGCCGACGACGCAGAACAAAAATCGTTCGGTCACGGAAACCAGTGGGGGCTTGAACCCTGTTAGGGGAGGAGAGAAAGAAAGAGAAAGAGAGAGAGAGAGAGAGAGACAGATAACCCGTGGAACAACCCACAGGTCCTGGGGGAAGACACGAGCCATGACACCACCAACCAAGCCACACCACCGACCACAGCAGCAGACACGACAGGCCCCACCAGCCAGCAACCCAACTGGCTACCTCCGCCTGGCACCGGCCCACTTCCATTGATGCACCAGCACGAATACATGCACTGGATCGCCAGTGGCCGCCTTCCACAAACTTACCTGGACCGGGTCTGCACACCCCCTCCCACGCCACCCACTCAACACCCACAACCGGACCAAGCCTCCGCGCCCGTCAACCTTACAAGCAGCCAACCGCCACCGCCACTCGACCCACTCCAGCCACAAACACAACCTCCCAAAAGCTTTGGCTCCCAACCCCCACCAACCTTCGCCCCTACAACACCAAGTGACCTCGCGGGGGACGACAACCAACCAAAGTGCGAACCAGAGACCGCACCATCCAGCTCACCAGATGAGACCAGTGACACCTCCGATGATCCCGACAGCACACCCACCGAACAACGACCACCGTGGGAGCGACCAGGCGCCGGGGGATCACCCCCAAAGCCAAACCTCGTAGCGCGGGACACGGATCCCAAAGAGTGGGCAACAAGCAGGGCAAACACAACTACAAGTGGCGATCAAGATCCGGGGGAAGCGTCCCCCGGCACCCGGGCCCCCAACCACAACACGGCCCCGGATGGGGAATCCTCGCCGAAAGAGCGCAGCCGCAACCGCAACCACAGACCCCGCCCCACAGACTGGCAGCAAGGCAGACAACGAAGCACGCGACCGCCACAACCAACGCCACAACCCATACGAGGACGACACTGCCACAGCTTCACAGCCACCCACTTCTCCCTCACACCCCACAAGCATCTTCACTGAAGACGAGCTTCGAAACCAACACGAGTGGTATGAGGCACAGGAGGGAACGTTCCAGGGGGAGATCCCTCCCGAAATGGACTGGAGCGAACCACCACCCTCCTCCAACCCCCCGGAAGACACACCACCACCACTGCCCACATCCGGGGGAACCAGCGCTACCTTCACCCGCCTCACCCATGGCTGCTGGGAGGTCCACATCCACGCCACTAATCCCTCAACACCACCCAGAAGCAGCAGCAGCTCCCTAAGGCCTCGACCGAGCCCCCATCTTTAGTCGGGGGGGAGCAGAGCCCGATACGCCCCCATGGGGCCCCCCGACACATGGCTCCTGATCGTTATCAGTGTCCCCGCCCTCGACGAGTTTGAACCAAACAGCATCCTCCTGGCAGAGGGGGATAAATTCCGTATTCACAACACCCCCCGCGGCTGGGCCCTAACAGTCGAGGCACTCGTCAACTCTGCAGCGCGCCAAGCCCGGAGCACCCCGGACACACCACAACCAGCAGGACTTCCCGCAGAAGCAAACCACAACGACAGCTCCACAAAGCCCACGAGCACCCCAAGCCACCAACGTCTCAATACCCCACGCAACAGCAAACCGGACAAGCATGTCCGATTCAACGAGACAGCCGACCACCACACCAACGAACACACCTCCCACGCCACACCCATGCAAACAACACCACAGACACAGGCGGCACAGACCGCCACGCCAGCTCACACAACACAGCACAGCCAGCGGCACCCTCTTTTGGACGACCGTCCCCTTCGACGCAGCCAACGCCAGCGCGGCCCGCGAGAGCGCAACGCCACTTCCACCCCAGCCGCCCCCAATCGCAACGTAACGCCCACAGCACCAGACCCCTTCGCACACGTCCGGGACGGCAGACAAATCGGCAGGACCCGCACGCCACCAACACCACCACAAAGGCCAACCACGACCAGCACCACCACTACCTCGGCCAGCCACAGACACCACACAACAACCACAATAAGCCAGGGAGCAACCCATGGCGAACCACACGAAGACCACAACAGCCTGGTGCAAACGTCGCCCTCCAACAGCAACGTGCCCCAGCAGACCTCCGAGCCACGGACCCGACTCACACCCAACTTGACAACTCCACAGACAGGCCACCACCTGAGCCACACCACCACCCCCAAGAGAGCACAACTACAGACCGGGTCGAAGCAGCCCTCCTTCGCATATACCAAGCGGCAGCCCAATTGCCCGGGGGAAGCACCATAGCTACCCTTGCACAGTGCGCCCTCAGCGACCTTCTTGTGGACAGCCAAACAGAACAACAACTACTTTTGCACCTCGAGATCGAACAACAAGATGCAGCCAGAGCACCCACAACGGGGGAGAAGCCCATGAAGCGGCAGAAATTCGACACTGAACACACCGATCCAGCCGCACAAGCTCTCCAAAGACTACTTACCAAAGCTCAAAGAAGGTTGGCCTCTGCCGAGGAGTCGCACCAATATATATCATACTACGACATCCAGCACGACGTGGACATGATTATCACCTGGTTGAATGACATGATAGCGCAAGCTCGGGGAACTTCCTCGTCTTCCTCTTCCTCTTCCTCGACCCTGCCTCCGGGGGAAGCCATCGGACGAGCAGTCCGAAACCTTGGCCTGGCACTCAAAGGGATACAGACAGAGGACCGTCCAGAGCACTGGATCCAACTTGCCGAAACCGTGATGTTCTTGGAAGCAGTCCGAAAGGGCGAGGCTGTGGCACACCCTGCAGACGTCATGGCTGCCACGCGGGGGATTTTGACCTCCAACCTGGCCCGAGAAAGACGGCAGCGACGCGCGCGGGGGATGATACTGGAACTACAAGATCTTCGAAACCACCTTGCCGGGGGAAGCTCAGAGGAACTCAACGCGGTGCATGCAGCACTCCTCCGTGCCCTTGACGAGGTGGAGGAGTTAATGTTTCCAGCCGCGGGGGAGACACTGCCACCTGCACCGCTGGAACTACAGCACACAGCTCAGTCCCCACCAGCACAGGGGGAATGGTGGCTTCATGATCGCCACCACGGACTAGGCAACGCCCCCGGGGAAGTACCACGCAGCCCGACCGTGGCAGTTGCCCGTGACGACGGGGAAAGCATGACCAGCCATCGTCGACGACGGCAACACGCTGCCCTCCTCGACGACTGAGCTCCAGCAACACCGCCTTCTGAGCTGCTCGTGAACGGGGGAAACCAAGCATAGGGGGGATGACCCCTCATCCCCACCTCTTCCCTACTTCACCCTTACCCTACTTAGGCCGCTCATGTTGCCCTACCCCTCTCAGGCCTTATCCTCCAAGGGGGAATCCCAGGTGAGCGCCAACTTTTCGGAACCTATGAAAGTTCCCTTTACACATGGTACTCCTTTAGGTGTTTAGTATCGCTGTGCCCTTGTTTCGCTGATACCACATAGGTTCCGAGTATGCGCGTCACTAGTGAACCAAGCTAGGTCAACAGGACCTCGCAGGTCGAAATGACCTCCGAGAGATCAAATGTAGACATGTGGGGATGCCTCCTTTCGACTATATCTAAGCTTGCAGTTTCTGTAGTTTGCACTTTCCACGTTGAGGAGACTCAGAACATGTCTGCATTTTGCATGTGTCCTGGAAAGTGTACAATCACCTTCTTGCGTTATCGTAGACTTTACGGCTTTAGCCTTCAGGTGATTTACACTCGTACTTCACTCCCCTCGCCCCAACAACAGGTTGGGCGGGCATGATGCCCGGGGGACTTGACCGTCCCCCATGCCCAGGAGAGAGAGAGAGAGATAGCTTGTCGGGGGGGCACAATCCCCTCTCCCTTGAGAAAGAAAGATAGTTTGTGGAGTACAGTCACACCCCTTCAAATAGTGGGGGGGCCCTTGAGGCCAGGAGGTTTCGCACGCCCCCTATGCCCTGTGGAAGAAGATAGTTCGGGGCCCACACCCCTAGCAAGCAAGCAAGCAAGCAAGCAAGCAAGCAAGTGAGAGATGGACAGCAAGCAAGAGAGAGAGAGAGAGAGACAGAGTGTGTTTTGCCCTACACCATAGCCATGGCGAAAGAAAGAGTGTGTGCTTCCCCAGCCCCTTTTGCCCGATGGAAGAAGAAGAGAGAGAGGCCAGTACCCGTATGACACCGAACTTGGACACCGTGCGCTCGTGCGGGTGGCGCAGTGCTAGCGTCCTGTCCTCTGGCTGTGTGGAAGAATGTGTGTGAAAGTTTGCGGACAGAAAGAGAGCAGGTGTGTATCGTGGGTAATTATGTATGTGGCGTATATGTTTACATTGTTGCCATATGGTGCAACAGGGCGAGCCAGACAGCGAAACGGAAGCAGGACCTGAGGCAGAGCCAGCTCGTCTCCCGGCCGGTCAGCGTGACCTTCCGCGGCGCAGACGGCTGGGGTCTCAGTCTCTGCATCGGATATCGTGTTACTGACCTGGAGGTTCTTGGCGGAATTTGAGCAGCTTGGGGCCAGGGTTTTGGGGAGTGGATGGTTTTTCGGGTAGAGATATGTGGAGATTTTGGATTTTGACATGAAACGACAGAACGATAGACCCTGAGCCGTAAACCGTTCCTCTTCAGGTGCTGCGATTCCGATGCCTGCCCTGTCTGCGCCGATTGAGATCCACCTCCCGGACGCGAATACGCTTCTTCTCCGAAGTCTTAAAGCTCAAACCTGGGGTTCAGGATGTGCTATTCACAGACTTTTGCTGATGTACATGTTCCAACTTAGCTCTCACCGTTTTCAACTTTGGAGTTGCTCGCGTGCTCGCGTTTAGTCAGAAGACCGCTCCCCAAACCAGGAACTCCAGCCCCCAATTAAAGATTCTTAACAGGCTTTACAGTGCCGGGTTTGGGCTTGTGATGGGCCTGAGGATTTACGGCGTGGCAGGAGGTGTTAAAGGTTCTGAAAAGTTTATGAAGACGGCGAGAGAGCTTTACGTCGTTGGGCTAGCACGAGGTCTGCATTTGCAACTCCAAAGCTTTCAAGCTCCTTCCATGGATTCAATTCCAGTGGCCCAGGAGAAGTACCGACGGTAGGTGGTTTCTGGAAACAGGATAGGTGGCCCAACAGGAACTTCGGATTGGCTATTGCCTGTGCCAGCCGAGGCAAGCGATTTGTGCCGCTCGGCCTATCCTCGATGCAGCATATCCAAGCACAGACACATGTCGCACCTAAGAGGTGTTTGATTTCTGATGAGCCGACGTCTGATGTTTTCGACCACTACCATAGGTTCGGAGGTGTTTGGCGGATATTGCCTCGTACGGAAGTTTCGAGTTGTCGCGGAGCTTGAACCCATGCAGGTGACACGATGATTTGAAACAGCTAGATGCCGTCCACGTGCAACCGTTTAGGAAAGTGCTCAAGACACCACCTACTCGTATAGCTGTGATGCCCGTAAATGTCACAAAGCCAATGACGCAGTGATGAAACAAGCCAACGTCGGGGGAGAAAGCCCGGAAACCGTCTCAAGCTCTACGAAGGCTGAAAAGCCCGGAACATGAAGCTGCTAGGGCACATCGGCAGACCAGTCAGATGCTTAAACAGAAGTGTTGGTAGACCAAGCGCTCGGCGGCTGCTGGAAGCACGTCGAAACGGATAGACAGCATCTGGAGTAACACCTATGCTAGGTCCAACGGACCTAGGCTTTGTTTGGTTGTCGTGCAAAGCTGCCGGGACCCACTGTAACCACCATCAAGATGAAAGCGCCTAGCGCGATGACCACCTGTGGGTTTGAGCTCTCTTGCCTGCCTCATGAAAGTTACAGCCGGCGTCAGAATCTGCAGTGTGACTCTTATTGGATATCTCTTTCGGAGATTGTTGCCCGGCCTTGATCGCGAGGCTTTCTGGGACGAGGCAGCGAGCACCTGGTCCACTAAAGGAGTGCAGCGTGTGGAGAGCTGGGAAGGAGAGGGGATCCTCTGTCGAACCAGCCACCTCACTGCCGCCTGGTGGAGTTTGCTGGGTTCACGTAGGTTTTGCGGCTTGATTCGCACAAATTATAGCACAGCCAGGCAAAACACAACGGCTTAGGATTTGAGATGATTGGAGGTTGGTGCCATTTTGTAGGTCTTGGGTTGCCTGGTTGCCGGATAGAGAGTTCGAAAGTCTGTGGTTTGTGCTTCGAAACAAACGCTTCAAAGGTCGGAGGTGAGGGCCTCAAGACAGCGCAGAGATTTCGTGGGGCTTAGGTTGAAAGCCAATCCGAGAGTTTTTCGCTCCGCAAGCCTCTCGTTCTAGGATCCCCAGAAGCAGCTTTACTTCCGGGTGTATCGCAGTGTCAAAGTCCAAGCATCTTGTGCCATGGAGTCGATAGTTCTCAAGCTCCATTGGGTTGAATTCCTGTCAAAATGGTTCCGAAGTCAGAACAACCCGCTGCCCGACTCATGTAGAAAACCCCACGGCCTCGTGGTAGGGTCCTCAGCTGGACGGAGCATCAAGAGAAGCAGGTTTTCGCTGCCATCTTCGACACCTTTGTGAATGTTCTCCGGTGCTCCACCGCCGCGCAGATCTTTTCCCCAGAAAGCTTTATGCATTTCGGCTACATTTGCCTCGAGAGGTCGTCAGCTTTCAGTGCTGGGCTTCAGTGCGAGTTTGGCCAGCACGTCCAGAAGTTATGCATGTCTCTGACGGCTGTAGAAGTCTGCTGTAGAAGTCCAGAGGGATTTGGGACACTGTGACGGTGTCCTTCCTGCACGGGCGCATGTGCCTGTGCATGTGCATGGCGACAGAAGAAGCGAGTGACAGAGAGAAAGAGAGGGAGAGAGAAAGGGAGAGTTCTCGCCCCTGGCGGACAGAAAGAGTTCTCGACGTTGTCGGGTTCGGGAGGTGATGCAGGCTGGATGCAAAAAATGTAGATGTCCAAATGTGATGAGAGAAGACGGCAGCCAAGTTCAGTAGCAATCCACAGTGAGTCCCTCTTCCGAAACGGGCTAGCGCATGAAGCCCAGTACTGGTAGTCAGAAGCGAGCCGAGCAACATGGAGGGCCCCTGTTAGAACGTTTACTTGAAGTTGCGATGGTGACAGAGGGGGCATGCGGGATTCATGTGCAACTCGTGCGAGGTGTTGAACATGGGGGGGGGGCACAGAGACACACCCGGAAAACAAAATTGCATGCCCCCGTTCGTGAGGCCGATGCCACGCAAGAGTATTCGGGAGTTGGTCTCGTTGTCGTATGCTTTATGGCTTTAGCCAACTTTAGCCTTTGAGCCACTGCAATACTCTGGGTTTTCTCGTTCTGTTTGAGGTGTCTTCTTCTGGAGTGCATGGGGTTGGACTTGTTTAGGGCTTTGTTTCTTTCAGAGCTTAAGAAGTTGTGGTGAGCTGCGACCTAAACTCCAACTCCCAGTCTTTGTCCGCCGAAACTGTAATCCCGTAGCCCTCATACCCAGGAACCTCGGCAGCAGCGCATGGGTCCACTACTCCTCCAGCATCATCACCTTTAGCGCAGCTCGTCAGGCTTAAGTTCGTGGTGCATGGGCTTGGTTTGCAGAGGCTCCTTGGGATACCTGGTTCTGGGTTGCAGCAAGCAGAAGTGAGACTGGAGACCCACATATATATATATATATATACACACACACACACACATATATATATATATATACATATTATGTATATATATATATATGAGCATTGATCTAAAGGTCCTTGTGTGGGATTTATATAAAACGGTTTTAACATGTGAAATAGATTGTCCGCGAAAGATCCGCGATGGGTCTGCGAAAGGAAAACAATAATCCGCGAAAGTTGTTGTGTAATAGATTTGGGCCGTATAGGACTTGTAAGGTATGTGCTGTAC